TTTTTCTCAATTTATTTAGTTGTTTATATTTTCGAATGAATACAATATAAAAATACAGAATAAAAATAAAATAAAAAATAATTGCCATAAACAATAGCGTAAAAATGTTTTGTTTATTTTAGAAATACACCAATATTTTTAGTTAAATTTTTGTAATACCCACAGAATATTTAAAGAATGTTCTTACTATTGGGAATATCATTTTTATGATAAACAAAAAAAAATATTTTATTGTTGTAAATTTTTTGTAATAAAATTTTGAAATATGAACTGTTTATAATACAAAATTCTAAACAAAGTATAATTTCTTAATACGTGTAATGGCGTTTTGGCTATTGTAATATGACTAGGCGCTAGGAATACCTTTGGTCTCTATTCAAAAGTTATGTGAACATGAAAAATATATATAAAAGGAGAGCTTTATTTTATATAGACGTTTTATAGTAGGATTTGTATACCCTACACTACTACTATAGTGCGGGAAAGCACAAAAATATTGGTCCTAACGATCTTAAAGTATTCCGATCGACTCAGAAAATTATTATGACATTAGTATTGACTATTTCTGCCAATCCCGATAATTATAAAAATCAGTGCCGATAGGCATCCTGATGTTGACGAGGTATGAATTTCGATGCGATGAAAAGATAGCGGTATCGGTATTTAAAATTTTTGGGTTAACGATATTTTAGCAGTATCGATATTTTGACTCATTTCAGAGACAATGTCCTGAGTTATTGGTATTTTGACGATAATGATATTTAGACTTATTGCTGTATTTTTATGTATTTTAGCAGTTACGGTAATAGTGTTGAAAAGGTATTCTAGCGGTAACTATAGCTTAGCGATAATGGTTGCCTTGAATTCTTGTTTCAGTACATATATTTTTCTTTAACATGGATGTCAAAATTTCTTAAAAGTTGAACAATTTTACCTATCGAAATGAAAAAACTTGGTATTTAAATTAAATTTTTAATTTTCCAAAAGTTATTACCATAATAATATAATTTATATAACAATCTATCTAGTATAAAGATTACATATTTATATAATTATTTTTACATTACGTACAAACAATTTATAGTCGGGGAAACACATTAAATACGATTGACTAATAATCCAGTAAAGGCATTAGATGAAATCAGAATAATTATTATTAATTTTATTTATATACAACATGCATATAATAATATCCTATAAAACTGATTAAAGCTTAAGTTAAAATATTTCAAAACCCATATCCGCGCATTTTAATATCTAAAATTAATTGAATAATTTTTAAAAAATATTTAATCCTACTTTGAAAAGTTAATTTAAATTAAATAAAAATAATTTTTTTTATTGATTTTTGTAATTTTTACTTTTAATTTTAAACTACTTGCAATGATTAGAATTAAATCATTGCCTAGTCTGCTAAATATACATACAATACATATTTATAAAAAACTATACACATATGAATCTCTGTGCCAAATCTAATTAACTTCTAGCTGCTAACAATGACAATGAAAAAGAAAAACTAACTTAATTTAGTTTTTTTTTTAATAATGAATACTTTTTGGTTTAAGCTTTTAATAACATTTGCATGTGAACATTTTATGTAGTCGTCATCATCACCATCATCATCATCGTGTTCATATGTATACTAAACGTATGCGTACATTTTTTTAGTTATAGTTATTTGTACTGGACATGAATATTATCAGTTTTTGTGATACATATATATAAGTGTGACTAGCGGCAGTCTATGAGTTTTAATAAGTCAAACCAACTAGTAGACGACATCGTCACTTGTGAGTGCAAAATTAAAGACATTGACATAGAACTTAAATGAATCACAAATAAATGTTGATTATTGTTGGTTTCAACTTGTATATATAAATTAAAAAATATATAATGTTTCATCGACACATTTGTGGAAATGACTGCGCAATATACAATTATGATAAGAACAAAAGGAATAAGAATTTATTTACATATTATTTTTTTTTTTGATACCAAAGGAGGAAAGTGATTAGTTTATCTTGTAAGAAGTAGCATAAATGGTGGAAATATGAGAAATTTATCCAAAAATTTATATTTTTAAAATATTTTTAAATTGTATCTTAAACACTATTAACATATCGAGGGACTATATTCAATAGTCGCTATCTGCCATTTTCATGAAAATGAGATTTTGATGGCAAAATATTCAGCAAACTATCCCGCATCAGTGATATAAATTTCAAAAAAAAAATATATTTTTTGGCAATTTTATAGCTTTTTTTTAAATTTCTCTATCTTAAAAAAAGAAAAAATCTGAATGCAAAACTCTCTATCTTATCCAAAAATTGCTTCAAACTCTATCCCTTTGGATGATTTTCTGTTGCAAAACAAGTCTTCTTAATAATTTGGACATGCTGAACACAAATCCGTCAAAATATTTAAAATCGGTCTAATAGTTTTTGAGATATCGCTCATTATGATACTAATTAAATCAATTTTATTGTCGTGTTTAACCATATAACTTTGATTTTGGACCAAAACATTATAATCTGTTGCTTTTTCAACAATTTGGTTTATTTTCCTCCATTAAATTGTATAAAATATAATATTTATTGATTTTAATTCAAATAAAAATTTTATATTTCCATGAAAAACTCTCTATCTGTTGGTTGAATGAATATTTTCGTAGAAAAATAAGCTCTATCTGATATAAATTTGTGAATAATTTTGCAAATAATGCAAAATTTAAAATTCTTTTCATATAAGGGTTTAGTATATGGTCGTAGAAATATATTGTAGAAGAAAAAATTTAAAAATCTTCACTAACTAGCGAAATAAACTGTTTTTTTTGCTCTCCTGAAAACTTGTATTATTTTAGATAGGGACTATTGAATATAGTCCCTCGATATATTAAATGAGAGGTTTTCGAAATATCTTTCCTTTGATTTACGTTTTATCTATCTACAGATTTAGAAGGGATATGCAACCTCTAATGCAACTCCACTAGGAGTCCATTGTGATTCCCTTAGTAGAAATAGACTTAAAATTAAAAAAATTACCTTAGGAAATGGTGTAGCTATAAAAATATAAAATGTTTGCTTTAATTCATTAAAAAAATATTCTTTTTTTTATAATTAAAAATAAGTTTGGATGTGCGTGCCAAAAAACAACCAACGAGTGTATAACACGGCATAGTTTCTTTCTTTATTAAGGGCAATTGAGAATTTTTATAAAACATATTTTTAATATTTAAATAGATTAAAAGCCACAAAATATGTTTAGCTTTATATTAATCGATATTTACCCACATGCTCTTCGCTCAAGGCAAAACTGTCACAAGTGAAAAAATACAATAATATGTACTAATAATATAATTGTAAATAGAATATTAACAAAACTTCAAAAAAATTAATTTCTTATTGTATTATTCTAATTTTTATTATCTTTTCAAGAATCGTAAATTCTGTAATTGAGTTAACTTTCTGAAGAATTTATTTCAATAAAATGTTCCAAATTGACACAGTAGATCCAATTAGACCTGACAACTGTTTTCTATATTATATATTACATACTTTTTTATTTAAAAATTGAGAAACATAAAAATACCTCTTATTTTTCTATATGTAAAATAAAACAGCTTGTTTTTATTGCTACAAATGTCTTAAAATCTTAAAATATGTTTGTCAGTAAGGGTGTTTCCAAGCGATTTTTCATTAACATAAAAACCGTTTTCGGCCATTTCTTTATTTGTTAAGATCCAGCTTGTTATAAAAAGGGTATTTCGTTGTCATTCAACTAAGAAATGTGAAATACCACTTTTTTTTCATATAAATACATTTTATTATCTATGAGTAGTACTATATATTTTCATTTTGGCCATACAACAGCTCGATTGATAAGGCTCTAGGTAAACATGTGTGATTTTTACTGCAGTAAACCGACAACCAGAGAACAATAAAATAAAACGGCACATACTAATAAGAGTGGCCTTGTCAAGAGAAACGTTACGGCGGCCGCTCAATGTACTGTTTCAACAATTAGTAATCAATGAGTACAATTTTTTAGCTAGCAAGACTAATAAATATATATAAAAAACGTTAACTATAAAAAAGGCAAACAATTGTTATGTAAAACCCTCTTTAGTCAATACTAAGTGATAAATAACTAAAGTTTGTTAAAATAAAAAGCAAATAGTGTTTATGATTTAACGAAATTTTTTAACAAGAAAACCTACATTAGCGTTTAAAATTTGGTGGAGCTATGTACTAATATAATAACTATGGTGTTGTCTTGAGCAATAAATTACCTTAAGAATCTAGTTTAATCTTATCTCACTGTTATTTTGGTACTTAAATTACAAAATATTTATACTACATTTTTAGATTTGAAGTGAGTCACATTATTTTGATCTATATGTAAATATACATAGGAATGTATATAAAATGCAAAGTCCATATAGAGCAAATGTTTTTTTTTTAGGTTTTAATTAATGACTCAAATTATATTTTAAAAAATATATTGCAATTTTAACAAGCAAAATAATTACACTGTGTGACAAAATTGCAAAAAGTGAATATACTCCCCACTTGAGTAGAGTAGAGTAGTTCACAAAACATATTTTTTAATATATCCTGAAAAACGCGAGTTTTCCCAAAAACGGATTATATGGCTATATAAAAAATCAAATATGATAGGATACTCTACTAAACTAGTTCTACAAATTGAGATATTTTTTGCTCCCGAACAAGGATTTTCCACAATATTAAATATTAATATTCTCTAAAATTCCTTATGTGTTGTAACCAATAATTAACAGATTGATTGATTTCTTTAAAAGGATTAGTATTTGTACCTAAAAATTTTTTTATCAAATTAAAATAACATCGGAATGGTAGGTTGTAGAAGAACAACACTCATTAATGTACATATGATGCAATGAACGTATACTACTTTCTGCTTAAAAAATCATATAAATAAAAAAAATTTAAAGCAAACATATTTAAAAATAAACTTACCGTTAAAAATACTATACGATTTTAATTTAAATATGATGCACTCAAAACAGAACAGAAAACAGGCAGGCAGGCAATGACGGCTGCACTTGTCTTTTTATGTAAACAAACAAGAAAATCTTTCCCTTTCTCTTTTTGTTGTATTTTTTTAAGGGATATAATTGATTTATTTTTTGTGTTTTGTTTGAAGTGTCGTGTTTATAATGAATCGATGATGATGGACGGTCGGGTTGAAGGGTGTGATGCTTGGCGCCTATTAAAAAAACTACAAAAACAAACAACAATATGTCGTTATTTTTTTTGTATACAATTAAATGTTAGTGCAATATGTGCGTTTTTTGTTTTTCTATTCTTCTTTTGTTTTATTGCTGCATTGTTGGTAAAATGTTTGCTATTTTTGTAGTTGTTGTTATTTGACTTTTCAACACTTTTTAGTATATGTTTGTATTATATTTGAGCTATTTTGTGTTAATTATACAAATTTTGTTAAATGAATCAAAACTGATAAACGTTAACACCCGGCACTGTTCTAATTATTTTCTTTTTTCTTATTATATTCGTTTATTAACACTCGTCGCTTTTGAATAATTTTTCTACACTAACTTTTTGTTGGTTAGATGGTCGGTCACAAGCCTAATCGATCGATTTTTCACTTTTCGCTTCCTATTCACTCACACTTTGTGTATGCAATTTTTTCTTTTTTTGCTTTGGCCGGGCTAATGAACTTTTTTGTATTTCATTAAGCTTTATTCATACAAATGATTTATTTGAAATTATTTTGTTATTATAAATATATAATATAAATTGTATGCGAGCTAATTATATTTTGTTTTTCTTTATTTCTTTTTAAATTAAGTTAAACAACGCCACGGCCGAAGCAATCGAGAGCACAAAATAGAATGACAACTGTGAAGGTAATTTAGCTATTTTTTTAGTTTTCTTCAGCGTTTTTCAAGGAAATATAGCGGGAGAAAATATGCAAGAATTCTAGCGATTTATTTAGTATTGTCCTTTCAAAGAATATATTAACAGTTTTTGGCTTTGTTAATGATACTTTTCTAACACAATATACAATAGTCTGTGATAAAAAAGGGTTTAAATTCATTTATTTTCTGTGCATATAAAAAATAAGTAATTGAACACTTACTTACTTACTATAAGCGGGTTTGAAAAATTGACGTTGACATCACAGCCTGTTACAATTGTAAAAAGTGAAAAGAAAGTAAACAAAAGATAATGCAAAAATAAAATTATGCTAAAAAGTAATACCAAGTTTTTACTATTTATCATATTACGAGATCGAAAATAATATATACAACATATTTTCTTATTATATATTTAATTTGACTATATTCCGATTGTTTAAGATAATTTAAGTACAATTTAATTAATTTTTTTCTTTAAATGTTATATCATGAGGTTATTAAAGCGTATTACAGTTGATTAGATTCCCTTCATTCAAAGTATTTGTCCTCTTTCATTTATGTATGTACAGTTTATCAAAATTCCAACAATATATTTCAAGTGTATGTTCGAATTTATCATTGAGAATTTTCAGAATTATTTTACAAGCCTCTATGTATAAATTTTATAAATATGTATGAATACAGTTGAAAAATATTTCAACAAAATGTTTATTTAATGATATGAGACTTAAAACGATTTCAAGCTGTCGCCAAAAAATTGTATAGTCTGACGCCGTCGTTAACTTTGCTCGCCAAAGACCTCTGTTCATATTACAACAGGGTTGGCAAAATTGGTAAAATTGTACTTATTTGGTACAGTTCGATCTTCAAAAGTACAATGGTACACCAATGACACATTTTGTACAATTTTAAAGTAAATTTCCTTATTGAAATAATGTGTCTGTTTCTGTACTACAATTTCAATGTATTATGTTGTTTTTCTAATTACTTCTGACTATTTCTGACTAAAACCTGTTACACTGACTAGTACTGGAACAGACATAATTATTTAAAAAATGTGCTTTTTACACAAAGTTCAGTGAACAATCGACTTCGGTAAAATTTTTACTAAACTTTGGGAGGGAATATTGTAAAGAATACTGGAGGAGATTATAACCAGACAACATTTAACAAAGAGAGTACGTTTTAGGATTATTTCTGTTTTATATTGATATCAATTTGCAAAAATACAAATTTGGTACAATCGGATTCAAAAAAGTACACTTTTAAATGCTATTTTGTACAATTTGAAAATTCAATTTGCCAACCCTGCATTATAACAAAGAAAGAACGGTTAGTGTCGACAAGTGCAGTTAGTTGTGTTTCGTGCAATCCAAATTTCTTTTTAATATTAAAGAAAATCGTCGAATTGGTCCATTAAATTTCTAAATTCTAAATCGTATGAGGTGATCCGGATGAGGATGATGCCAATTTCTCAAAAATTTATACGTAAAGATACAGTTAAACAAAGAAAAAAACTGTCCAGCGTTTGACCATTGAAAAAACATCCGAGTGGGGAGCGCAGAGAAAGGTCAAAAGAAACAAAGAAGAGAAAAAGATTAAACAGAAGCAGTAGTTAAATAAATTGAATGAAGGTATATATGGGGGAATTTTCTTTAATTATTTTACATTTTCGTTTGATGAGGGTCAAGGATTTTGCAAAACGTAAAGAAATGGGTTAACTTTTTTCTTAAATTCTTTGTGTGACTGGCATATATTTTTTCTTTCTTTAGCAATCTTTGCTTCTTTCTTTATATGACATTTCGTAAATATCAATAAAACAGTAAGAATAAGAGAAAAAAGACGTCATTAGGAAATTTATACCCAGTAACTGTGCTGCCACATTAGGGGATTTTTTTTGTAGGATATGTGGATAGAATACTAGATTTAAGGATTTGTCGTCAAAAAATAAAAACGATTTTGAGTTAAATTCTATCTATCTATCTATCTATCTATCTATCTATCTATCTATCTATCTATCTATCTATCTATCTATCTATTTATCTATCTATCTATCTATCTATCTATCTATCTATCTATCTATCTATCTATCTATCTATCTATCTATCTATCTATCTATCTATCTATCTATCTATCTATCTATCTATCTATCTATCTATCTATCTATCTATCTATCTATCTATCTATCTATCTATCTACCTATCTATCTATATATCTATCTATCTATCTATCTATCTATCTATCTATCTATCTATCTATCTATCTATCTATCTATCTATCTATCTATCTATCTATCTATCTATCTATCTATCTATCAATCTATCTATCAATCTATCTATCTATCTATCTATCTATCTATCTATCTATCTATCTATCTATCTATCTATCTATCTATCTATCTATCTATCTATCTATCTATCTATCTATCTATCTATCTATCTATCTATCTATCTATCTATCTATCTATCTATCTATCTATCTATCTATCTATCTATCTATCTATCTATCTATCTATCTATCTATCTATCTATCTATCTATCTATCTATCTATCTATCTATCTATCTATCTATCTATCTATCTATCTATCTATCTATCTATCTATCTATCTATCTATCTATCTATCTATCTATCTATCTATCTATCTATCTATCTATCTATCTATCTATCTATCTATCTATCTATCTATCTATCTATCTGTCTATCTATCTATCTATCTATCTATCTATCTATCTATCTATACACATTGTATTCAATATTTACCTCAGAAGTACGGATTCAAGATTAATTTTCTTATTATAATTCCTTTTGCGATAACTTATAAATATTATTATTTTACTTAATATTACATTAATTCATATGTATATTTCATTCTTTGTATTCTAATTACAGATAAACCTAACCATTAATTAGATCATATACCCACTGCCATTACTTTAATGATTAGCGCGTACGTTATTAGACTAAATTAATATAAATTAATTTTCACTATCATTAAACGATTAAAAAGAAAACAATTTACAAAAATAAAAAACGGGAAACCAAAATATATTCATAATTAAATAAATACAATTTTTAAATCAATATATTTTTGTAAACGTGAAAGAAAAGCGTAGGAAACGTAAATTAAACATCATTATGTCCAACCATTATCACAATCATAATTCCTACAATTCGGTTGGTAACAGTAGTGGGTCCAATCAACTCTATACTAATGGCGATGGTAAACACGACTACAATCATCACCAGGGAGTGGTTAGGTTAACAAATGGCTATGCTATGAAGCCATTGGATAATGTGGCCGTACCCGATATGTGTTTGTTTTGTTTTGAGGTATTAGATTGTGAGCTCAACAATATGGAGGGACCAGGTACTCCACCATTTACTAACGATGCTTAGTAAGTGTTCGTCTCCCTCTCTCTTCACTTCTCTTAATGTTGAAACACAAATGATATTATTCTTTTATTATTGTTCAAATTTCAGCCCTTTATTCGTTACCTGGAAGACGGGACGTGATAAACGTTTACGCGGTTGTATTGGAACATTTAGTGCTATGCATCTTCATTCGGGTTTGCGCGAATATGCCTTAACTAGCGCTTTAAAAGACTCACGTTTTGCTCCCATCTCACGTGATGAACTACCAAAATTGACAGTTTCTGTATCGATTTTGCAAAATTTCGAAGAGGCCAATGGACATTTGGATTGGACATTAGGTGTACATGGCATACGTATTGAATTCATCAATGAAAGAGGTTGTAAAAGGACTGCTACTTATTTGCCGCAAGTAGCTACAGAGCAAGGTATTTAATGGTTCTAATATTTTGTTTAATTTTTAATTAATCCTGTCTGTTTTGTAAACCGAATCCGAGTAAATTTCTCGTTTAAAGACGCATTCTCTCGAAAGTAAATAGATTTCAATTTTATTTAAATAAATTAAAAATTTATTTTTTGCGTTTTTAATATAATTGTAACTTAAGTTCAAATAAAAACTCGATTTGCAGAACACCAAATTCGGTTTTAAAACCTTCTCGGTTTTGAAACCGAATCGATTTACAGAACAGGCACGAATAATTGCTCGTTTCTCACTTTTTCCAGGTTGGGATCAGATACAAACAATAGATTCTCTTTTGCGAAAAGGTGGTTATCGTGCTGTCATTACACCAGAGACACGTAAAGCTATTAAATTAACCCGCTACCGTTCTCAGGAAATTCAGATGAACTACAAGGAATACCGTGAAGTTTTAGAACGTCGCGGTCAATACTGCAAAGTGCAATGCTAACAAATAGCGTTTAATCGTTTTAAACAACAACTGCAAACAGAAAATAATAAACGCCAAGAGAAATCGTTTCAATTTAGTTTAAATTTTTAACAAATTCTCTTCGCTTTACAACAATATAATTAAAAAAAAATATTAAATAAACAAAAAAAGAAGTACACATCAAAACAATATTATAATATAATAATAATTAATTTTAGTATGAATCTATATACATACATAAATATATAACAATAAATCTATATATATAAATGATAAAAATATCACAAGAAAATAATAGCTAAACAACAATTGTGTTTTCCAAAATCCAAAAAAAAACATAAAAAATAATATTGATTATTTAACTCTTCTTACTATCTACCTATACTGCAATTAAGAGAAAAAACAAACAAAACAAATTAGCAAAAGAATGTTAATCATACTAAATTTCTTTTATTTAATTAAACTCTAATTTAAATTTACTCTGTTTTTATTCTTTAGTTTTTTGAAAATATGTAATCATTCTTCTTTTTATTAATATACATATTCAATTTCAATGTGTGTGTATTAAAAAATAATAATATTAAAAGAGAGTGTGTAGTTATATATGAAATATATTTTAAATGGTTCTTATAAATATTTGGTTTTGATGAAATAAATAAAAAACAAGTTTGAAATATCAAAAAACGGATTTTATTTATATTGTTTTCGACTGTTCTACAAAGCGTTC